TGTACTATGTGATTTTTTTTTGTTTCTTTTGTATGTTCTTCCCCCTATGCTATATCCCCTGTTGTCACTGTACTTGATTTTGCTACCTTGCATCTTGTATATACATTTATCTGATTTGGGGAGAGCTAGGGGAATAACAGATTCTGAAACAAGGACACAGGATGACCTATTGCAATGATGATGCTCACAAGACACTATGTTGGAAATGAACTTTACAACTTCCACAGGGAGTAGGAAGGGAGTAGGGGAGGTGGGGGAGGGAAGGGGTAGTGGGAGATCAACAAAGGAGGTAACAATGTTTGACAATAAAGGTACTCATTACCTTATTCATGTAACTGTAACCTCTATGTACAGCATCTTTACAATAAAATAAAAAAAATAAATAAATTTTTCGTCTTGTGGCATGTTGGGCGACACAATATATAGACAGAAATTGATGAGTTACTTCAGATTGAATCCAGATCGTAAAGAACTTTATGAAATGGGAGAATGAAGACAAATATTGAATATTGAACTTCTTGAGTAACCAATATCCAAGTGACATTATAACAATACCTGGATATAAAGTGTTAAACAGGATTCTGTGTAGGGACAGGGAAGGATACGATGGGGCAGGGGTAATTCACTGAAAACAAGAAGCTGATAGCTGGGATACTGCTCTAGAGAAGAAGTGGTTGAGATCTTGGGACAACCTGAGTATCACTGTGTGTATATATCACTGGGCAGGCCAGGACTCTAATATTTTAAATATTACTGCTAGATATATTATTTACATTTTTAAAAAAATATGCTTCCTTTCTCTTAATTATCTATGGTATATTTCTGTGGTGAATTTAAAAGGTTTAAATTTGAGCTGCTAAAATGAGAAACTAAAGATTTATCTTTATTCAAATCTTGTGTTAGTTTTATATCCACTTTGCTAAAAACATGCAAAAGTGCATTTCTTTTTAGTTAAATTACCATTTTTTCTCCTAAGATTGTAGACACGGAAATGTATACTTGAGCTTGTAAGCTTGTACGATTGACAGTGGTTGTTGTTTAATAGACAACAAGGCTTTATAGGTTTTATTTTCCCTCCAAATCATTTTCTGCTTTAAAGAAGTTGCAACTTAAAAAAATTACACCTACATAAAGATTATCAGTGGTGGAAAGTGAGAGGCTGCCAGGAAAAAAGTAAATTTAAGGTTTATCTGATATTCTACTTGGAGCTATTTGTCATGGTTGGTAGCATTAGAGATGATGCCTTTGATCCATTCTAGGTTACTGACTATGGGTTCAATATTTTCAAGAAGCCATGTATTAGTTTCCAATGGCTGCTTTAACAATCACCAAACATTACTGGATTGATTCTTCTCCTATGCGTGTAGAAGCTCAGAAGTCCAAGTTATTCAGGAAGCTGGTTCTTCGGGAGCATGGGGCTGAGTGGGGCAGTGTATGTTCAGTTTGTAGATCTTACCTTTCTCTGTCCATCTTCAAAATCAGGGCTTTAGTAGCTCCATTTCTGCTTTGGTCCTACCACCACCTTTGTTGTCATTTCCCTTGGCTTCCCTCTTTTAAGGACCATTGTGATTGCATAAGCTCTTGTGATTAACATTGGACTCAACTGATTAACCCATGATAGTTTCATCTCAAAGCTCTTAATGTGACAGCTGCAAGTCTGTTTTGTCATAGAAAGTAATATTCACAGATGGTAGGGATCAGGACACAGACACATTTGAGCAGATCGTTATTAATTCTACTACAGGATGGATAAAATTCTTGGGGTGAGGTGGGGATGGTGTGAGGATAGAGCAGCTGTAGATATCACTTGCATATTAATCTCATGATGTGCCTAATTGGCACCATCCTGACCCTCTATACCATCTATAGAAGCTGGGAGTAGGGCTGTGTTGGTTGGCAGAGATTGATGTTTGCATGGGAGTTAAGAAATACACTGGCATTGAGAGAGTGAAGTCTTCCTCAAGGCCATCAGTCTGGGGTGTCAGAGCCATGGAGGTCTGATTGTGATTTTTCTCATTCATCTTTAGCTAAGATTAGTCATGCAATTTCCACACTCATGTTATGAGCTGAACCGTGTCTCCTAGAATTCATGTGTTAAAAGCCCCAGCCCCTTGCACCTCAGAAGGTAGCCATACCTTTGGAGGTAATTAAGGTTAAATGAGGTCTAAAGAATGGGCTCTAATCCAGAATGTCTGCTGTCCTAGAAAAGGAGACAACAAGGATGTTCACACAGAGAAAAACAAAACATTAGTATACAATGACAAGGCCAGCCATCTGCTGGCGAAGAAGAGAGTTCCCAAGGGAAACTAATCTCAGTGATACCCAGGTCTTGCACTCCCGCAAAAAAAAAATAATAATTTATATAGTTTAAGCCACCTAGTCTGTGGTATTTTATTACTGTAACCCTAAGAAATAAATAAATGGTAGGGTACAGGCTTTAGAAATGTTGGGCTAGAGGTCTCCAGCCTTAGGCTCTGAGTCCTGGAGTTCTTCCCATGGGAAGAAATTAAGTTTCTAAATTATTTTCAATATTCACAAAAGACTAAGGGAAGTATACAAAATATGATACAATTCAAATGCCTGGTTTAGAGGCTTCACTGTAGAATTACACTGAAATTAGTATAGTGCATATTCTACCTTACATTCCTCTGAAACATTAAGCCACACAGTTTCGGTTAATTGAAAATGAGAAAACTATTCATCATTTCACAAAATCAATTTGGTAAATAAAATCTCAGGGTTTTTTTTGATGAAGAAGAGGTTATGCAAGAACCACTGCTTTAACCTACCCTTCCCCAATCCCTTTATTTGGATCCTCAAAGATCCCTGCTGCTTAATCCTGTTCAAATTGCTAGAGCTCTTTCAGGAGGAGAGCTCAGAAAATTATAGAACCTTAGTCATCTGTCACATCAAGGTTGTCCAGAGCTATTGCTTTCAAATCCGACAGTGGTGCTGACATTCGCTGAATGCTGTATTTGACTATTTTTCTGAAAGCCAATGAAGTTTTATGGAAAAATGTTCTCAACATAACAAATGTGAGAAAAAAGAAAAGAAACTAATAAAACATGTGGCTAGACCACACAGTTTAACCTAACAGAAGCAAAATGAAAAAGCCAAAGCATGTTGGTAATTGTGGGACCACTGGAGAGGTTTGGCAGGGAGTTTGGGCATGTTACAAGGTGAGCAAGAATGAAGATAAGCAAACTGAAACACTGAAAGTTGAATAATAGGGATAGTGGGGATGGGGAAAGTGAGAGAGTGTCAATCTGATGAAAATACTTCCTATGCATGTATGAAATTCCACAGTGAAACTCTTTTGAACCCTTAAACATACAGTAAGAATATCAAAGAAGCATAGGAATGTAAAACAGGTCCTAACTATGATAGGGGTATTGGGGGTAGGGATAGAAAAATGGATAGAGTAAAAAAAAGAATACAATCAAAATACTTTATATACACGGGTGAAAATGGAACACTGGAGGTTGTTGGCATGGTTTTGTGAAAGGTTGGGAGGGATGAGAGGGGTGGTAGAAGGGTGACTGATCAAGGTACAGTGTATATATTTTGGGATACCTCAAAATGGAATCCCCTCACACAATGAATTGATACTAATAAAATGTAAAAAAAAAAGATTACACAATATAAATAAAAAATGAAAGGAGGGGCATTTTGTTGCTTTAGCAAAAAAAGGTAAAAAAGTAAAAATACAAAACCAAAGCCCTTAGGTGCCAAGGTATCCACACGCACTCATTAGAATACATCTGAAAGCTTAAAAACCAAGCGTTTTAGGCAGGGATGTACATTTTGTCTAAAAAATAATAGAAGGATATACGAAGAACACAAACTTCTATGAAGAACAGGTATTTATTAAGTGCTTTATAGTAAAATATTGAGGCTACTCTATGACAATACACAGGCTCCATGTTCTCCTAAGAAGTGCAGGGCCTTGACTGACGGAAGCTCGAGGTACAAACATGGATGGAGTTGTGGGTGCTACACATACAAATGGGTCTTCTCGCTGCTCTTTCCCCAAACTGCAATATTTATGTGCAGAAGTGTTTAGACTTTGGGCAAAATCGGTACATTTCCTGAGTATTTCACCAAACAGTTAAGAATATTATATTTCCTTAATAGAAAACATGACAAATTTCTGATGGACACATACCTTTTAGTACTTAACACCTTCAACAACTGAGAAGAATAATCCTCCCACAAGAAAGTATACCACAAGAAAGTCTTTGGAGTTAGCATAAGGCTTTCCAGCACAAAGTAAATTTCAAGGCAATTTATCAAGGACTAAATATTCATGAACCACCACACTGTTGGTATGGGAAGATGAATGTCAAGGTTAGCCAATTTTTTCCAAATTGCCAGGATCTAGACAATATCAGAGGAAAATAAGGGTATGGGAGTGAGTGGTTTTTGGCTGGTAACCAATAGCTAGAAAACAATACTAAGATTTGGTAGCATTAACTAGCAAATGATGTATCTTCATTCATCTGTCAATATTGTCTTCATGTGTACAATTATTTCAAGATAGCATTTCTACAAGTGACTTAGGTTCATTTGTGCAAACAAATTTTGATTCTGAATAGTTAGCATTAGTTCTAATAGTTATTTGGGATTTGTCTCTTATGTATGCCTGGAATTTTTAGCCCTGGCTCTTGAATATATCATTTCTTGATATCATTACAACTGACATTTTTTTTAAATGCTGCCTACGTTAAAGCTCAGTGTAAGAATCACAACCCACTTAACTCATATTACACAGACCACATATAAACTAGATCCTTCTTCTTTTAAATAATTTCTCCAGTTCTTTATAAAACCAGTCATTCAGAAAATCACATCCTGAGACCCTATTTACAAACTTAGATTGAGAGTTGGGCCTGACTGTTTGGTACCCTAAGTTTTCCTTCTAAATATTTCCTTCTATGAATATGACAATGAAAGAACTTAAAAGTAAAGAAAAACTTTTAATTCGGATGCAAATGCTTTTGTATTCATATCAAGAAAGGAGATCATGCTGTTTAAAGGAATGGGAAAAAACTCATGTGTGATCATCTAGAGTACTGCAGTCCTCACTGACTGGAACATACAGCCATGTCCAGCACAGAATTAAGCCACCGGTTCTAATACATTACAAACCATTTGATTAAAAACGCTCCCAGCCAGTCCTCTCAGAACGAAGTCATGGTGAAAATACTTTTCAAACATATGCCCTTAGAAAATGTTCTACTTGGCAACATTAAAACCTTGTTTCAGAAGTTCCTCGCTTTAGATTGTTACTTAAAAACTCATCATGTTCAAAACTTAAGTTGTTATGAGATCTTGAAATCATAAGAAGCTTCTCTTTATTGGTGAAGTCTTTTTTGATGGCGGCTGGGGGCACCAGCAACCTATCCATGGGGTCCTCTTTGTTCTCCAGTTTCATATATCCTTTGCTGTTGCTCCGATCCAGCCGTGGCCAACTTGGATGTTTCCTTTGCTCTGCCTGAACCGTGAGGGTGGATCGACCTCGGTCTAAGTCTAAAGATTTTGAATGAGAAGAAAGGAAATGCAAGGATGTGTTGGATCCAAACTGTCTTCTAGCAGCCCCGGGTGATAAAAGCTGCCCAGCCCCGGGACCAAGCGCAACAGATGACTTGTACTGAATGGATAATGCCTCCCCAATGGAATTATTCCTCGGGAGCATGGTACTGATGGGCTGGAAGGATTCACCAGCACTGGGCAGAGGGACCACAAGGGAATCCATTGACAAATTCTTGGATCTACTTTTGAGGTGGTCAGCATCCTCAGTGATGTTATCTATACTGGGTTCATCAATAACACAGTTATTAAGTTTGATCACAGGAAGTGTAAAAGCATTAATAGAAGATGACACAATTGACTTGGTTTCACATTTCTTAGAGTTGCTAGTCTTTTCCTCAGTTGTCTTGGAAGGAGGTGGGTAGAGGCCAAAGACAGACACAGAGCTCTCAGAGAGCAAAGGGGGCATCAGTTGCCCCAAACTCTTACTTTCGTTGAGCATCAGTTCATCCTCCTCCACAGAGCTGTCCATTCGAAAACTGCTCCTCAGCCCTGAGAAAGAGGAGACTGTATTTGCTGCCAATCGAGAGGCACAGGCTCTCCCATTCTGCTTCACTTCAGCCTCGCCTCCCACACCGGAGTAGGTACCATTCATCTGCTTTTGCTCCTTGATTCTCAGGGTGTGGATGTCAATGACGGTGGAGTAGATGTCCCTCATGTGAATGATTTTCGTCTCTTTGTCCCGGTTTTCATGAAGAATGGCGTTTGCGCATATGAAAATGAAAATGCCAATTCCCATGGTGAAGGGGCCAAGCATTTTCATTTTATCTGAGTGCAAATGCTGCTCAAAGAAGCGCACCACCACACCACCGTGGTTCCGAAGGACCTGAGTCTCATTCGTTGACAACGTTGTTCCTGCGTCGATGAAATGTTCTTTCTGAGGCCAGTATCCCAGGACAGCCATGACAATTCCGATGATGGAAATGAGCACTCCTAAAATGAGGAAGAAGCCAGATGGGGAATAAAGGCGGATTTTGCCCCGGACAACCACAACATCAGCCCGTGGCCTTCGCCTGACGGGTTTCTTTTCCTGGGTGGTGGGAGTCGGGCTGAGGTTGATGTGGTGCTGGGATCTGGCCGAGTCTTGTCTCTTGAGGGCGGCCAAGCCCGTGATCACACCTCCGGTGGCTATCATACTGGGCCTTTTGTTCTGCAAAGAAAGCAGAGAGACAATGATCTCAATAGGTTCCCGGGGTAGGCTCATCAATTCAGCTCAAACACTGCTTATGCAGTGCTTTTGTTGTATTATTGTCTCACAGGGCTAAATGAGGCAGAAGAATATCTTTTTAATTGTCACAGTTCAGGTTTTGTTGGCTGACTGATGTGAGATTTCTAGAGATTTTTCACTCTCTCTTTAATTGGATGAGTGTTTCTAGTATTGATAAAATGTGAGTTCAAAGTAATTTTTAATTTAATTAAAATAATGTTATTGCTTATTGTATAATGCAGTTCCCTGGTCCCAAGACTGTCTCACACACTGCGTGTGGGTGCACACATAGGCAAACACATGCCTTATCATTGATTGTGGTATTTTTGCAATGGAAAAAGGAAAGATACTTAGTAAGCTGAATACAAATGCCAGACACAAAGACAATACATTCCAGAAATGGATGGTTTTAAGACCACTCTTATGAAAGTCATCAGTATATTCTTACTTGCCACATAATCCTCCTCCTTCTCTATTGGTATTCAACTTCCTTAACCTCTCCATTTCCATGGCTATTTGAATGTTCTGGTATGAGTGCCTGAACCCAGGATCTTTGCCTTAAGCTCAGTTTTTTCTATGCTAGGCCAGCACTGTACCTCTTGAGTCATGCCTCCAGTCTGGCATTTTTCTGGTTAACTAGAAATCAAGTCTTGAGGACTTTTTTGTCCAGGTTGGCTTTGGACTGAGATCTTCAGATCTCAGCCTCCTGAGCAGCTAGGATTATAGACGTGAGATACTCTCTCCTGCTTTTCCATGGATATGAAACTTTTCTTGAAGCCTCTCTTCTCTGGTCTTTTATTGTTCTACCTTGGTTCTACCCTGACCTTGCTAGCTATCTCAACTTTAGCTCTTCTTCTCACACTGAAAAGTAGACCACTATGCCCCTAGAGGTCTGTTCTTGGCCATCTTCTTCCTTCTAATCTCCCTTGGCATTCATATCCACTCATACAACTTCCATTATTGCCTTGATGATGATGAGTCCCCAGTCTACATTCAGGTCATATCCTGTGTTTCAATTTCATATTTTCAACTGTCCCCTGCAGAGCACATGTACATCTATGCAGCACTAGCAAAGCTAAAGCCACATTCCACCACACCACAGCCATCCCACTGACTCCTCTGATTTTTTAATGTTGGTGGTGGGGTCACTTTGGTCTTTATAATTGTGCTTTATTCCTCCCTTTCTTCTTCCTCTCCTCTATCACGTTCTAAATTCTAGACATTTTCACTATATAGTTTCCTCAAAACCACTCCTCAGTTCCAATTCTCTTCTCGGTCCAGTTCTGCGCTTCTAACCCCTATGAGACCATTAGAATAACCTCCCGACTGTCTTGCCAAACTCTTTAACTTCCTTGACAATCAAGCTCACGTGAAGATGGTAGATTATTTATCCTAAGACACACAGTTGATGTTTAAAGAGTAGCATAATGCAGAAAATTATTTCCTACCACCCACCAAAGTTAAGTCTGAGATTTCAGAGTTTCATTTCTGTTCATTTGAATTTACATGCAACTAAAGCTCGTGTGTTTCTTGCTTCTCACTCATGTTCTATGCTGTGCTGTTTCTGAGACTATGAGGAATGTCTCAGCTTCCTGTTCGAGCCTCCTCTCTGCCCCTCGGTTCCACTTTTCCCATATGGACATTGGCGAGTCATCGCAGCTCATTCATCAAAGCTTTACAAAGCTTTTCCTGGCTGACTCATTTCCCAGACCCCATGCAAGATCTGATTGCTCAGAGCATTGTAGCAAGTTTCCTATGGAATTTGACATACATTATATGTCTTAATTCTTCTGGTACTTAAGGTTAACTGTCACATTTAATTAATATTTTTCTTATCTGAATCACTCACTATATATAGCTCCTTTCATACAGCTAAGTGTTCAAGAAATATTTACAAGGGCTGGGAAGGTGGCTCAGTGGTAGAGCGCTTGCCTGGCATGCCTGAGGCCCTGGGTTTGATTCCTCAGCACCACATAAGCAAAAAGAAAAAAG